TCAGCGTTTGGGCAAACCAGGATTGTGTGGCTTGGGAGAGGGCGGGGAACAAATAATCCCCAAATTTGGGTGTGGGTGGGGCTGAGGCTGGTTGCGGGGAATATGGGGGGAACCGGGAGAGCCACTTCTATGCGGAGTCATGGGTTCGAGGCTTGAGTGTTCCTGCTGCCATCTCAGGGATGGGATCAGCACCCCCGCTTTGGGACCAACCCTGTTCCCAGGCAAGCCCACACTCAGCCCTGCAGCCAGTACCCCACTCACACCCTCAGCAGCTCACAGGGCTGGCTGCCCCACCTCTCTGGGCTGCTGCTTCTCTCTCCAGTTGCATGTCTTGTGTCCTCTGGGGCTCCCCACACCCCAATCCTTAAGGCCTTCTCCAGCTTCCCCACAGCCTCCCTGCTGCCGCCTGCTGCCAGCCCCATCTTGCACATCTGATTTATTTCCTTCTTGTGGCCAGGTAGTTTGGTCCAGTTCCTGGCTTCATTCCAACTGGGTCTCACACTCTGCTTCCCAGTTCATGCCGCTTAATCCATGTTCCATGGGCAATGCCCTGGACCTGGGGAGGGGAGCTGGAAGAGGCCGCAGTGTAGGGCTGTGAAGTACGGTGGGCAGCCATGCAGGGACATCAGGATGATGGAGGATATTTTGTCCCAGGACTGTCACAAGCCCAGCTCCAGTAATTTGCTGTCTCAACTTCCAGATCCCAAACCTCTGCCCTCCAACAGTGAGTCACTGGGCCTCCCGCATTCACATTCCTGTCTACACTTTTGGGGGCAAGGCCTTGGCCTGTCCAGGGGCCTGAGACTGAACTCTGCCCTTGGCCTCCCCCTTGGACCTTCTGGTTTAGCCTAGAACTCTGGAATGCTGGTTAATGCTGTCACCTGTGAGAGATCTCAGAAATCAGGCCTCAGGGTGAAGTGTAGAGAGACCCTGGGCAGCTTAAGGCTAATGGGCCATGTGATCTGGCCCTGGAGGCCTGGAAGGAAGCTCTGGAAGGACAAACCTCTCACCCGGTCCTGTGCTAGAGGCTAGACCACCCTGCTTGAGGGGGGAACTGGGAGCAGTGTTTATGCAACTGCGGGGAGGCCACAGCCTGGCAGACAGTGTTGCCCGCCCAGCACCAGCGCTGACTCAAGAGCCCCCCCCCCAAGCATGTACACACTCAGACATGCACACTCACGTGTGCACACAGTAGTCAACACACATGTACCCACACAGACACACGCAGACACAGGTAGATACACAGAGGCCACGTGCACACACCACCACAGATGCACAGCGCATGGCATGCACCTCCACACACATAGAAATGCACATGTGTCTGTGTGGCCAGGCACCTGGGGAACACTGAGTCAGGAAGAAGTACACCTGCAGCTGAATCTCGCCCCCTGGTTGCCTCCATCCATCCTGCTGTGCCGCGTGCACCCACAGCCAGTGACCCAGCCCATGTGTGCTCAGTGCAGCCACATGGAACATGCCCCAGAGTGGCAAAGTGGCCGTGCTGATGACAGGGACACATTTCCTTAAGTGTGTATTTATTTCAGACTCAGCACTTGTGGTTTACTTCTCAAATGGCTGAAACAAGCAGAGCAGGGTCAGAGCCAAAGTCAGGGACTCAGTTCAGGTCTCCCATGTAGGTGGCAGAGACCCAATCGCTTCTGCCTCCCAGGGTGTGCATTGGCAGGGACTCAAGTCAGGTACCAAACCCTGGCACTCCGCTGCAGGATGTGGACAGCTGTCTTGAACAGTTAGGCCATCAATCTACCTGGTAAGACAGACACAGCCCAGGTGGAATGAGCTTCCACAGGTGGGAGGCAATAGCCCTGGCCCTGCCCCCACTAGCCACACCAAGCCGGTAGCCTCAGGCTGCACAGGTAAGGAGGCAGATTGCAGAGGGGTCACAGCAGGAGTGAGGGTTGCTCCCTTCCATTGCCAAGCCAAGCAGGGGAGCTCCCCAGACCCAGGGAAGCCAAGAGAAGTGCTCAAAGTCCTGCAGGGACTGGAGGCGGGACAGACATTTGTGAGAGACCCTGTGAACTTGAAGACAGGGTCACTTCTGGCCTGGAAATGATGGGAGAGCAGGTGCCATTCCGGCTCAAGGCCCCAGTCCAAAACTGCTGAGGCTGCCCAGCCCCATGCAGCAGCTCTTGGAGATCTTTGCAGGGGGAGCTTAGCAATCGTGGAGCCTGGAAGAAGGTGGCAAGGGCAGGTAGAAGCAAGGGACTGCTGACAAGTGTGTTGGCTATACCAGGTGACATCCGGCTTGGCATTCTGGGGGTGGAGCCTAATGGGGCAGGAGAGGATGGCCAGAGCCCAGCCAGATCCCACAAGCATTCAGACTTAGTCATCCCTGGAAGGCACCTGGGTCCTGCCCTAGCAGCCAGACTGTGCACACTGCTGCTACTGCTCTGGTGGCAAACCCTGCAAGGCAGACCACACCATTTCCCCCAACCCCGACCCAGAAAGGAAATACACCAGCAATTCAGTCCCCAGTCCCAAGACAAGATGCTGCAGGGCACTTTTCAAAACGAACCCAAGGGCCTGGCAAGGTAGCCTAACAGCTCAATTCTTTGCCTTGCATGAGCCGGGATCCCATGTGGGTGCCGGTTCTAATCCTGGAATCCCTGCTTCCCATCCACCTCCCTGCTCGTGGCCTGGGAAAGCAGTTAAGCATGACCTAAGGCCTTGGAACCCTGCACCCACATGAGAGACCCAGATGAGGCTGCTGACTCTTGGCTTCAGGCTGGCCTGGCCATGGCTATTGCAGACAACTGGGGAGTGAATCGGCAGATGGAAATTTTCTCTGTCTGCCTTCTCTCTCTAGAACTCTATATTTTAAATAAATTAAATAATTCTGAATTGGAAAAAAATTTTTTAAAGATTTATTTATTTTTATTACAAAGTCAGATATACAGAGAGGAGGAGAGACAGAGAAGAAGATCTTCCGTCCGATGATTCACTCCCCAAGTGAGCGCAACGGCTGGAGTTGTGCCGATCCGAAGCCAGGAGCCAGGATTCCTCCAGGTCTCCCACATGGGTGCAGGATCCCAAGGCTTTGGGCCATCCTGGACTGCTTTCTCAGGCCACAAGCAGGGAGCTGGATGGGAAGTGGGGCTGCTGGGATATGAGCAGGCACCCATCTGGGATCCCAGCGTGTTCAAGGCGAGGACTTTAGCTGCTAGGCCACGCCGCTGGGCCCCCCCAATTTTTTTTTTTTTTTAAAAAGATGTCAACCACTCTGGCCTCACACACACACACACACACACACACACACACACACATACACAGGGCTCAGTTGCTCCCGCCTGCACATCCCTGCTCAGCAATTGCTGGACACTTCATAGTGAGGACAATAGGTCCTAGAGCCCTGCCCCTGCAGCGGTCCCAGCATCTGGAACAGAGCCCTGCACACAGCCGGTGTTTAATATGTGGTGAGTGAAAGGCAAATGCCAAGACTTCTAGGACAAAGGTCCCCACTTCCACTCACACGCCATTCTCACACATGCACAGCCAGGCCCTTGACCTTGCTGTCATCCACCACTCAAGCAGATACGCTCACACCTCATCAGGCCACCCAAGCACACCTGACCTCTTGCCCTGCAAGTGGCTTCATGCCCAGTGTGCTGTCCTCTCCACTCTGAGCCCTCTGTTTTTCCCAGGGACCCAACCCTGGCCTATCTGCAAGAGGTTGTTCTATCCGCCCATTAGACCTGTGCGTCCACTCCTCTCTGGGAAGCCTTCCCTCACTGTTCCCGTTGGCTTCAGTACCCTGGGTGTGGGGCTGGGATAGGGGTGGCAGGAGGTGTGTGCCTCTTCACCAACCACAGCATGGGGGTGCACATGGTCTCCTGCTCAGGAACCCACGGCAGGTGGACACAGACATTGGCCAAGGGTCACGTTGCAAGCAGAGTGCGTCAGTTCCTGCACCCCCCAACCGAGGCCAGGCAGAAGCTGAGGCCCCTTCAAGTCTGCTGGCTTAATGATAAAGTCTGCCTCTCCACAGACACCCATTCCCAGGGGCACTCAGGCCAAGCACTCCTGGTACTGGCCTCGACTCCCAGACCTGTGACAAGGTGCCTCTGGGCCAGTGCCCTGTCATATCCAAGGGCTGGACATGTGACAAGGCAGCTATTCGTTACTGGGAGGAGAGCAGCATAGCTGCCATCGCCAAGAAGAGAAAAAGAGGACCCAGGCACCGACCAGCTCAACCCGACTCCCACCCCAGTATCTGAGCAATTTGGATATGCTTTTGGTATCTGCAAGAGTTGATATGCTACAGGCGTGGTCCCCAGGTTGGGTGGTGGTCCTGGGAGGTGACATATGTAACCTTTAAGAGATGGGGCCTCCGGTCACTAGGTCACTCTCCTGAGATTAGCTACAAAGGCAGCAGCGAGCCAGGCCCTTCCCCCTTCTCCCTGGGCTCCAGGCTCAGGATCTGTTCACAGCCCCACGAGTTCCACCTTCTGCCAGAAGGACCCTGCCAGAGCCTGCACTGGTCTGCTGGCACTGTCACTCTCCAAAACTGGGAGTGACTTTTTAAAGTCATCTGTCATAATATTGGGTTATGGTAAGGAAAAGTTGACAAATACAATGGCCTGGAGAGTTTGTAGAACCAAAGAGACAAGGAGAGGAGAGGAGAGAGGAAGGAAGATGGGCCAACACTGTGGCATAACAAGTTAATCCTCCAACTCCAACATCCCAGTATCCCAGCACAACTTCCAATACAGCTTCCTGCCAACGTGCCTGGGAAGGGAGAAGATGAGCATCTGGACCCATATGAACGAACAGGATGGAGTTCCAGACTCCTGGCTTTGCCTTGGCCCTGCTCTGCCTGTTGCAGAAATTTGCGAAGTGACCCAGTGGGTGGGAAGCACTCTCTCTCACCACTCTCCCTCCCTCCTTCTGTTTCTCTGTAACTCTACCTTTCAAATACACATATAAAGCTTAGTAAGGAAAGAAAATTACAGAGGATGAAGGAAAACAGGAAGGAAGAAAAGAAGAAAGAAGGAAGCCATTTATTTATGAGCCTCGCGGCAGAGACAGGGTTATAGTCCCAGCTAAGCCTGACCCCACAGGGCCAGAGATAACCTTGGTGCAGCGTTGGAGGGCTGAAGGCTTGCACAGGGATCCCGGCGCTTTCTCTCCCCGGCTCCTTCCCCTGCCTTCTGGTGTCAGCAGCATGCATGAAGTTGAACTGTCCCCTGCGAGGCCTCCTGGGCTCCCTGCGGGCAAAAGCAGCTACAGGTCACTGGGCCCATCCAGTCCGTGGAGCTGGAGGTAGGGGTGGTGGGGGAGGTGATGCAGTAGGTCTGGCTGGAAGTGGAAATGGTGAGGTTCTCACCTTAGCTGAGAGGCTCAGCTGGCCATGATATGCTTCACAAAGGCTGGAAAGAAAAGGAGGGGCTGGGACATCAGCACTGGACGGCCAAGGGCATCAGCCTCCTCCCTGTAGGCCCCCAGACTCCCGCTTGTGCCAAGCCCACCTTCGTAGTTGATGCAACCATTGGAGTCCTCTTGGCCCGCCATCAGCTTCTCCACTTCGTCCTCTGTCAGCCTCTCACCTGGCAGGATGGGAGGAGGAGGCTGAGTCGGCACTGCAAGTGTGACGGGTCAGGGAGGATGGGCTTCGCTCCCAAGGCCCCGGCCCTTGCCCCCATTGCAGAAGCCCCAGAAACCCGTGACCAGTGAAGAATTGGCAGGGCTCCAGGCATTCGCCTGTGCCTCCTCTGAGCCTGGGCTTCCTGCTATACAAATGCTGTCCCCTTTGCCACTGGGCTTCCAGGGGTCCCTCTCCCAGGAGGAAGAGAGGCCCCCACTTCTCTGGGGAGAACAGCCCAAGGATTGGCACTGGGACCTTGGGGGAATGGTTGGGGAAGGTTCAGGACCACCCATTTCCGCCCCCCTCCAAGTGGCAGGGCCGCTTCCACCCTGCAAAGAGCAGCCACTGAAGTATCCCTCCCTGCAGCCTCCTCCAGAGGGCGACGTGGGGCTGTGCATGGTCAGCGCTTGGTCAGTGCAACAGCCCCTGGCAACAGAAAGCCCTGAAAGTGAGCGCGTGGGTGGCAGGGATACCCAAGGCCTCCCTGGGGGAGGTCAGGAGGCCCCTACTCCATTACCCAAGAGCTCCAGCTATGGAACCTGAGCCAGGACCGACTTGGTCCCCCCCCCCCCCCCCCGCACCTTTCCTACCCTTTTCCCCACAGTTGCCGCTGACCCCAACCTGGAGCTGCTGGGTTCCATGACCTGTGTTAACATCTACTTGATAACCATGCCATCCTGCTCCACAGAGACACAGACCCTGCTGTGACCCTTGGCAGGGGGCAGGGAGTGGGCAGAATTTGCCCTCACCCAGAGTGGCCAGCACATGGCGGAGCTCTGCACCCATGACTGTGCCGTTGCCTTCCTTGTCGAAGACGCGCAGCCCCTCCACGAAGTCCTCATAGGTGCCCGTGTCCCTGTTCTTGGCAATGTGCTGGAGCATGGGCAGGAACGTATCGAAGTCCATCAGCTTCGTGTTGAGCTCTGCCCAGAGACAGCCCCAAGAACCCCCGGCGGCGGTGGGGGGGGTGGGGGGGGGGCGTTGTGAGCTCTAGTGTTGCCCCAGGCAGACCCCACACCCTGGGTTGTGTGGGGAGTGCCGGGTCTTGGGACAGGTACACTACCTTCTTGCTTGGGCTTCCCCAGGACCCGCTGCACCTCAGCTTGTGTGGGGTTCTGGCCCAGTGCCCGCAGGACGTCCCCACACTGCCCATAGGTGATCTTCATCTCACCCTTGGGTGTGCGGTCGAACAGCATGAAGGCTTCCTTGAACTCTGCCGGGAGAGGGCAGTTAGCAGATGGTGCCCACTGCCTGCCCCCACACCACTGGCAGGATCTCCGCCCACTTCCAGAACCCAATCCTGCAACCTCCTGAACTTTGCTCACCTTCAATCTGCTCCGGCGTGAACTCGATCTGAAAAGAAACCCCGAAGTCTCTGAGTACCTGACCCAGAGAGCAAAGCCGAGCCTCCTCCTGGGGTCCCAGTGTGGCCAGCGCCGGCCCCAGCCCATTCCAGCACTCCAGCATACACTGCCAGGTGCCTGGATAGATCTCGCTGCCTCCCCAGCCCTCTCCACCTCCCCAGCCTGTGTGAATGCAGAGTGTGCTATCTGGAGGCTGTGGCTGGGGTGCTGCTAAGGAGCCCCAGGATCCGGACCTTGCCTGACGCCTCTAGTTGTAGACATGCCGTATGAAACCAGAATCTTCTGGGTTGGCCCGCCTGGGGGTCAGGGGCGCCGTGGCCAGGACTGTTGACATGAGTGAAACAGGAATCTCGGGTTGGAAGGCAGAGTAAGCAGGAGGCTACAGGCCAGCGGGTTGTGTCTGCACAGCAACGTGTGTGTGTGTGTGTGTGTGTGTGTGTGTGTGTGTGTGTGTGTGTGTAGGTGTTGGCCCCTCATAGAGCCACCTGCATTCCCTACCTTCACCCACGTCCCACACTGTATGGGTCCTACAGCAGCGCTCCCCCTCTTTCTTACCATCACCATGCCAGCATAGCTCAGAACCAGGGCAGTGTTTACTGAGTCCACATCAGGGCCACTTGGCGGTCAGGAGGCCTCCTGGGACCCAGTGTCCCCCTCCTCACCCGATATCAAGTCTATTTTTAACACTGTAGTCACTTGTCCCAAGGTCAAAATCGCACAAGGAAAAAGTTCAGGGGAGGGATCACGGCTGGCACCTTACCCCTCCGTGCTTCCGAGGAGCTCCAACAAGCTCCCCAGGGCACACAGTGCAAGGGGACACCTGTCCCTCGTGGCTTCTGGCTCCATCCAGTGTGAGGAAGAGCAGTTTCATTCCTGGCTCTCTCAGTGCTCTCTCTGCCAAGAATCCTGCTGAGACGAGGTTCCCTGGGTTCCCAGCACGGCCTGCCTGCCTTTCACCTGCCAGCCGTGATGGGAGGGGCAGAGGAAAGCTCTCACTCATCCCGGCCCCTCAGAGCAGTCTGTGCCCGCAGACACTGCATGATGCCACCACGGGCAAGGCAACGAGCGTGGGGGGCGTGGGGTGGCCAGAGAAAGAGCCACCTCTGAGGGCCATGAGCTTGGAAGGCTTCCTGGCAGCCCTGTACCAGGGCTGGGGTTGTGGGGAGAGTGGAAGATGGTCCCATTTCACAGCTCAGAAAACCAAGCATGAAGCAGCAGTGTGGAAAAGCATGATCAGAGATGGAGCCAAGCTGCAATTTGAATTCTTGTCTCAAGGGACACGGCTGGAAAAGAGAAGTGGGCCTGGGCAGTTGAGTGTTGGAGTGGTGGGGTAGGGGCAAGGCGTGCTCAGCAGGGCCCTTCGGAAAGCAGCCAAGGCAGCAGTGGATGGTAGCCAGCTAAGTGCAAGGAGCAGGCAGTACGTGGGGTACGTGCCGCTATGCAGATGCCACAGGTGGCTGTCATGGCTCGTCCTCCCATTTTAGACTCTGGGGGCAACTTCCCAGCCAGGCAGGTCTCTTGGGGCTGCTGGTTGCAGCTCCACCGTCTGCCCTCTGCACAGATTTCAGAACACTGCCTCCCAGCCTGTGCCTTGATTTCCCTTACCTAAAAATACATGTGAAGAGGGTTCCACCAGCCCTGGGTTCAATGACCTTGGCAGGGGTGAGTGCGCCCCATGGCCCTGCTACCTATTCTTCCCACCCCCTCTCCTTAGGGATCTTCCTCTCACCTCATCCCTACCCCCATCCCAGCTGGGCAAGGATCATCTCCACCTGGATACTGGAGTTAGAGAAGAACAGCTGGCTTTAGGATGCCCCAAGGATGGGAAGTTTAGAAAGGCAAGTCAGAATCAGCTTCCAGAAAGACATTGTTCCAGACCCCAGCCTAAGCTTCCTCCTTCAAGGGCACTGGACACTCAGTGGCACTGGGGTGTGGGAGTCCCCATAGCTGCTCCCTCAGTAGCTGGTGCAAGCTCAGCTTGTCTGACCCCTGTACCGAGGCATCCGGTTTCAGCTCAATGGTCATTTCAGGAGCCTGATCAAGACCACCCCTGGGTCCCCATGCCTTCCCAGCCCCAACACCCACCTTGATCTTAGAAGCATCAAACTCGGCCTCCTTGGGGCGCTCGGGCTCTGGAGCAGGAGCGGGAGCCGGAGCCGGAGCCGCTGCCTTCGGAGCGGCCTTGGCTTCGTCCTTCTTGGGGTCTGGCTTTTTGGGGGCCATGGGAACCACAAGCAGGCAGAGGACACTGAGAGAAAGTGCAGACAGGGTAGGTGAGCTACCGTGTGTGCCCGGCCCTTTATCTTGCCTGACCCCGGCCCCACCCCACAGGGCACAATAGGGACAGGACCATAAAAGGACATTGGCTCAGCTCAGGGGCTATTTTGGGGCCTGGGGAGGGCATTGTTCTAGGCCCAGGAATGGATGTTAGGGAGGGCTCTCCATTCCTCCCAGTCACCTGTTGGGCAGGCGCGGGAAGGGGAGCCAAGGCCACAGCTGAACACACCATTCATACACTCCAGGCAAGACATGGCACCTTCCTGCAGCCTTCTATAGGTGCCAATGGAGGGACTACGTGTGTGCCAGGTGCAGTGGAGGTGGAAAGAATTGCCTAAGGGCACCCTCATGGAGGTCTCGGCATCTGTGTCTGAGACCCTGGGGAGAGGCGGTGCATCTGTGTCCATGCCTGTGGGGGAAGGGAGGGGTCTGTACTATCTTCCCGAGTGTGGGGCTGAAGTTGCCATCCACAGCACCCCTGTCTGCATGCCTGCGAGTGTGGCTGCCGTGTTTATGTCTGGGTCTCTTTGTGCCTATGTGAGCGTCTGGTCACGGCAGGCAGCGGAGGCCTCACTGCGGGTCCCAGGGTTTCTGGGGCCACACAGCAGGGAAAGGGTACTTCCAGGGAGCTCCTGTATGGCTGGCCCTTAGACTTGGCATCCCACGGCCCCCTCTTTGCCCTTCCTGCATACTCTAGGGGGCCTGAGTCCTCCCAGACCCTTGCAGGAGCAACACTCCACCCTCTGCTGCCTGCCCCTCCTCTGTGGATAAATCAACTCTGGGCCCCACCACCCGCTCCTCCAGAAAGCTCTCTCACGTACTGTTCCCACGAGCCCCTGCTTCTCTCTGAGGACACTTCACCCAGGGACCCCCACATGGGGTACAGTTTGCAGAGAGAGATCTGCAGCACCAAGGAACCCCAAGGGTCCGGGCAGGATTTGTCCCTCAGGTCCAGTCCAATGGGCTCAGCCCTGTTCCTGACCCCTTTGTGCCCAAGCCCAGGGCAGGCGGCGGGGATCGGCAGAGATGGTACAGTCCAGTGGGCCATCTTTTGGGGAGTGGGAGAGGCACTCCAGCACAAGTCGGGGAGGGCGGGAACATCTTGCAGACACATTGGGCTCTGTCCCCTGCCCCGCATCCGTGCAGGGATGAGGGGGAGGTGTTCCTGGTTATTTTTAAGGCCTGAAGCCTTTGATAGAGACTTCAGAGGCAGCGCTCCCCCACCCACCCAGGCCCCAAGGGATGTCCCAGGGTTGGGGAGGGGGAAGAGAGGGCCCTTCCCTGGAGGCACCCCACGTCCTTCCTGAGGGGGTTTCTGGGTTTCTGTCTTCTGGTCATTCAGCCCCACAGAATGGGGACGTGGATTCAGGGCTACCCCCTGCCCCGCCTGGCACACATTCTTGCCATCATCTGGAGGGCAGAACACCCCACATCTGGAAATCTGACAGCATCCGGGGCTGGAGGGGGCAAGTTTTTCACTTTCCTTCCAGATGTTTGGCAAGAGTATTGAGAAAGCAAGGGGAGGGGGAGGGTCCGCAGAGACTGCCAGAAATACCGCAGGGAAGAAGACAGCCTGAGGCGGGTGGCAGGGACACACACACCCAGGGAGGGACCTCGGGTGGCCCTCTGTTCCAGCCCTGCCCAGGCCCGCTGACCTTCAGGCCCACCAACGTGGGATGTCATCCCAGGGGTCCCAGCCACCCACAGACATAGCCAGTAAGACCAAGGGGGAATGGAGGCCCAGGACAGAGGACATCTTTAGGGTCACCCAGAGTCCCCCGGTGCCCCAGAACTGTCCAGCTAAGTGAGTGCTCGGGCACCGGTTTCCAGGTCTGTCACTGGAGTGGGCAGGCTCAGGAACCACCTCCCTCCCTCTCCCTATAGGGGTCAGGCACAGGGAGTGTCTTGCTCCAGTGTCCACATGTACAAGGAGGAAGTGGCTCTGAGGTGGGGACACTGTTTCCTGAGCTACGTTTGCTGCCTCGCCAGGGCTCAGACGCAGGAGGCTGCAGCTGGGCGACCGGCAGCAGAGTTGTGGCTCTGAGAACTCTCACGGTGCCTGAGGGCTCACCCACAGGACCCCCTCAGAGTTCTCACCACTGTCCGGTCCAGCCCAGCATGGACCCATAGGCGCTCTTTGCATCCCCCAACTCCCACACTTCCATTTATTTGCCTTCAGCACTAGTTGTCACAGGCCAAGAGTGAGTGAGACAGATGGCCAGGGAAACAGGGGCAGGTGTCGGTGGGTACAAGGATAGGTCCCAGGGAGCCGTGGCACTGCCCTCTCCCCCTCAGGTCCCAGTCTGGAGTAGATACCCTGAAGGAGAATTGAGGGCCTGTTCCAGAGTCTTCTCTGGGGACCCTCACCATCCCTTTCATGCCAGCCAAGGGGAAGATGTGCATCCTACCCTTGAAAGGCCTGTGAATTGAAGCAGGTGAACACTGACAGACTCTCGGGGACCGCAGAGGGCACCCCAGGACAGGAGTGCAGACAACAGCTGCCCCAAACCCAGTTCGGTTCATGCTTCTCCACCTGCCACTGCCCCAGAGCCCCTTGGCTGGACCTTGCCAGGCTTCAGGACATGGACAACCTCTGGACCTCGACAATCGGCCAGTAGGGGGCGCAGAAGGGATGAGAACTGACCCCTGGCTCTTCGATTGCAGAACCGGCAACCAGGATCCCAAACCATGACCCCACGCCTGGAATGCAGAACCCTAGACTCAAACCCCAGGCTCAGACCTCACAATCTGAACCCCAAATTCAGAACCAATAAACCCAAAAATCCAGGACTAGACTCTCTTAGGGCCCCAGACCCAGGTCCCGGCATGCCAAACTCCACATCCCAGGAGGCCAAATCCACAGCTTGTTTAACCATAAGTTCAGACCCCAAACCCAGAATTCAGAGCTGTCAGTCAAATCCAGGACCCAGGACTCCAGACCCAGGACCATGGCTGGTGACTACCCAGAACAATACTGCCTGTCACCCTGTGTGCAAACAAAGCCAGGCCGGGTAAGCTCTTAGCAAATAGCTGGGTGGGTGCTTGGCAAATTTCCCAGGAACACCCCTCACCCTGGCAGAGTATGACATCTTCATGGAGGGGGCAGAGGCGAAACCCATCTGTCTCTTGGGTCCAGGAGGCAGAGGTGGGGGTCTGGTTGCCCACGTGCCCTCATCCTCCCAGGCCACAGGCTCCACAGGCAGCCCCGGCCCGTCCGGGCACGCCCCTCCTGGCCCACAGCCTCCGGGCTGGGATGCAGGCCCACACTTCCCGGAGGAGTCAAGAACGCGGCCTGCGCCAGACCCAGAGCCTTAGAAGTAGGTCAGATGTTGCTTCGCAGCAGGTCCTGGAGACCCCGTGGCTGCAGCTGCCCACCAGGGTATGCAGACACGTCCACACGGGGCTCCTAGGGCCACTTGGCCACACAGCTTCGGAGGCCCACAGTCCAGCGGTGGGACGAGGGCTGCTGCCCCCGGGGCAGCCCAGGCTGGAGATGTCACGAGGCAGCCACGAGGACCAGGAGAAGCATTGCTGCACCGTCCCACAGCTCTGGAAGCTGGGATGGAAGTCTGACTCCAAGGAGGACTTCCCGGCAAGACTGCTGTGCCACCAACAGGATGTGGCCCGCTTCCCGGAGGCACAGCCCCAGGCCGTGAAAGATGGGAAAAGTGTGCTCGCTTACTCGAGGCAGGCGGAGGCACAAGGCTTCCCTGCACTCCTGGGACCCTTGGCTATTCCCTGCTCCTCCTGGCCTCAGTGTCCTCACCTGTACAATGGCCGCGGCTACAGTTCAGCGGTCCCAGGCTCGGAGGACAGTCTCTGCCTTGCCCCCACACCACGACCAAGGCTGCCCCCACATTACACACAGACAACTCTGTCCTCCTCGGGCAGGCCAAGCACAACTCTCAGGCCCCTCCCTCTGCCCACTGTGCTGACGGGGACCAGATGCTCCAATCTTGTGGTTCCAGGGGTGGGGGTGGCAGGGCCCAGCGGGCTGGCAGGCGAGTCCTGGGTTTGGCCCAGGGACCTATAATCAGCTCTTGCCCCTCTGATCCCAGCCCAGGACTGACGCTTGGGGCTGTGGTGTCCTGGCCGGCTGTGGCCACGGCCGCTATATTTGGGAGCCCAATTCAGCATGAGGGAGGAATGGCAAGCAGGGGCCTCCAGGGCCTCGTGGGGGACAGGATGGGGACAGCATTGGCCAGGTTTCATCCATTACGGAAGGAGGGCACAGCCCTGGCCTGCAGTCTATAGTCCATGGGCAGGGGTCCTTCCAAGAGGGCTTCTGGTCTAGGGGAGCTCACGATGTATCTGGGACACGGAACCCCCTTCTCTGGCCCAGCGACTTGAGAATCCAAGTTGGGCCTCGCATGCTGAGTGCCAAATGAGAGGGGGCTGGCAGGGGTGGATGGGAGCAGAAACAGAGCGAGGCTGGGGGTAGCCAGGTCTGAAATGGAAGCTGAGAAAGCTGAGGTCTGGAGCTGGGGTCAGAGGGCAGGGAAGGACTGAGCCCATCAGTCCCAGCTCTGCCTGCTACTCTAGCTTCCAGACAGGGGCCCAGCCCCTCCCCCGCCCGCCCGCCCGCCACATGGCCTGTGGCCTTCCTGCAGGGCCCTGGACATTCCCTGCCACTGGGCCAAACCCTGTACTCTCCCACCAGCAGTCTCCCAAAGAGCAAATATTTATTGTCCTTGGAAGAAAAAAAAAAAAAAGAGTCCCCTTTTAGGTTTGGGGTCTGGGAGCTGCGATTGAGGTTTGCAGGGACTCAGCAGTGGCCTGAGATGACCAGAAACCCCACCTGGAGGCACTGAGGGAGGAGGAAGGAGGGAACCCCGACACTAGCTGGCCTCGGAGGAGAGGACGCCCACCCGGGGCTCTGCTGGACTCCAAACCCTGGACCCTGCTGTTCCCTTCCCTTGCCTCGATTTTGCTCCGTGCCTCGTCCTCTGCCTTCCTTGAATACACAAGGGTGTATAGCC